GTCACTGTCCTTTCTTCCCAGCTGTCCCATCTGGTTGGTCAGGGTGACCACTAATTTTTTGGCTTCTGTAAACTCAAACCACTGCTGATGAGTAGCAGCTGCCTTGGAGCTGAGCCTCCAGCAGGTTTTCAGAGGCTGTAAATAACAAAGATTGTATATCTTTCTCCCGTGGAGAAGCTGGTGGATTCAAACTGCCTTCCTCTGGATTGGTTTTACCCACTAGTTTGCCTATTTAAGATAATTCTTATACATGTATAATAAATACACTATATCTTGTGAAATGCTGTGTTCGTTTGTGAGTTGATGGACATCTGAGTTTTTTCCACTTCTGCCTTTTGGATAATGTTGCTCTATTACAAGTTTTTGAGTATGCCTGAGTTTTCAATTTCTAGAAAAACTGCTTGGTCAGACTCTTTCAATCTTTTCTCTTTAGTATTTTCTGTGTGTCTGTGTCTGAGATTTGGGTAGTAGTTTAGAGAACAAATCCTGTTCCTACCCAGTAGACGTCATGTTTTTCTTAGCGTAACTTATAGTCCCCCCCAAGCAGCCTCGCTCACCCTGCATTTCTTCTGTCCCTCTTCTAGCTTTTTGAGCTTTATACTCGTCAGATCAGTCATGCAAAGAGGCGGCATTTGCCAAGTACACGCCTGGGGTGTTACTGTTCACCTTGAATACCCATCTGTTGGTTGTTGAAAATTGAGCCTTGGGGAAGAGGACTGCTGCAGGCCCGAAGAGGGAGAATGGCACCAGTCTCTAATCAGAGCAGTCTCAGCCTGTTAAATCCAGTTAGAACTGACTTGCATCTCATCTGACCCTCCACCTGGTTTCTGAGGCAGTAAATTGCATGAGAGAGATCACCCATCTTTCTTTGTCCCAGGGAACCATGGGTGGTACAAACTATGTCCCCAGAGCTTCCTTTTTGTTGTTTTGCGGGCTCCCTTCCGATGTTTCTCTCTTCACACCACCCCCAGTGTGAGTGGTTAATGGTAAATAGGCACCATCTGGTCATTTGGGTCTGAAGCCTGGAGGCTGACATTTGCAGTGGTGCATTAGTCTTTTGCACTGTTTTCCTTTTACCTTTGATTTTTCTTCACTCCTTGAGAGGCAGTAGGTGTACCTTAGATGGTTGCTCACTAGTTTTTACACCTCAGTTGCTACCCTAAGATGTGCAGCGTTTTTATGTACGATGTTGTGCTAATGGACCTGGATTATCCCTCAAAAGTATGGTACTGAGCCCTCAACCCAAGTACCCTCTCCTTAAAGGTCCTTGGTTATGGCTAAGATGTTTTCATAACTTGGCTTCAAGTGCTCTGCTATTGCCATTGCTATATTTGCAGCTTGCATATTTCTTTCTTCTCTGAAGGGGCTTGTAGTCCCATTTACCTGCCTATGTCTATTCAATTTGCCTGTGTAGCCACTTGTAGATTATTACTCCTGTGAAAGCTTGACATGTTACAGAATAGTTCTGTTCTCTTCTACTTTTGGTTTCCACTCCATGTTTTCCCTTGCCCTTAGCATTTTGCACTGACCATCTCCTCCTCAGTGCAGATTGTAGTACCCTTCACCCATGGTAGTGTCTGCCCTGTACTTAAGTGATTTGCCCTCCTCCCCACTCCCACTCCAGTACCTATAAAGTATATTTCTTTTTCTGTAAAACCTTATGTTGACTTATTATAATAATAGTGGTTTTATACAGTATTTGTCTTTTGTTTATTGCTTATTTTCTAAAGCACATGTACTCTCATCTGTTTTACACATTCATTGTCTGTTAATGTTGCATAATATTCCTTAAGCTTTTTTTCATTGATTGGCATTTAGGTTGTTTTCATCATTTTTGCTGCTGTGAATATACCATGTTGAATGTAGGTGTGTAAAGTTTAATCTTGAAAATTTGCTAGACTATTTTCCAAAGAGGCTGCATCACTTTGCATTTGTGCCAGCAATGTTTAATGGTTCCAGTTTATCTTTACCAAACTTAAGCTGTTTTTTGTTGTGCTTTGCTTTTTTAACCATCAAGAGTGAAGTAGTATATCTCATTTGTGACTTTTATTTGCATTTCCCTTGTGGCTTGTGATGTTGAACTTTTATTTTTCAATTCTTTTTGCTTATGCTTGCCATGAATTACTTAGATCAATAAAGACGTAATAGTAATGGCATAGTTAGATGATTTTTGGTGTATTAATGTAGGCATTAAATGTGATTTAAAATGAGCATACTTGTTCCTGTCAAATTGATTTCAACTCATGGTAACCCCATAGGACAGAAGAGCTTACACATAGTGTTTTCAAGGCTGTAAATATTTTCTGAAACAGACTGCCCTGTCTTTTTTCCTGTGGAACAGCCCAGTTATAGCTAAGTACTCAGACGAACTTCAAGTGAGGTAAAATTTACCAGCATAAATGAGAACAGTGATTCTCAAAACAAGAATGAAGATATCCCAGGGGAAATATATGCAAAAGGAAAACCAACACAGCCTTGTCTGTGTGCAAACAAAAAAACCCTTGCATTAAAGAAACAGAGATACTTCACAACATTGAAAGCACAAAGAACATTGAATGGTGAACCAAACTTTGAAAGCATTCGGTTTTCTGAGACATAGAAAAGGTGCTCACACAAATACTTTTTAAACTTAGTATTTTATATATAAACAAGTAGAACCCTTGTTTTTATACGTAACTGGAATTTTCATGTTATTGATGTTTTCCAATTCAGTGAACTAAGTGTTGGTTTTATCTTACTAATCTTCTGTACAGGTAAAATTCAATACTGTTTTGACATCTTTTCAAGGTTATGGGACAGTCATTCTGTTTCCATTTGTGATTAAGATTGTCTTGCACATTTTTATCATCTAGGCTGATTTTCTGATAATAGAAGACCAGCTGTTTCTTCTGAGATCCCTCTGGGTGGACTTAAGGCTCTACCTTTTATGATTTTCATTTCAACTTCCAGATTTTTGTTGGTATTGTCTCGTCTTGCCCTCTTGGGCTTTAAGGTCTTCACGGTAGCATTGTGTACTTTTCACTTCATTGACTAGAAGTAAGTTTTCTTTTGATGGAGTTTTTTCCTCAAGCAGTCTGCTTTGAAGTTGGCCATTGATTGCATAGGAGGAATGTTTAGTTTACTAAGTTTTTAACCCAATGTGATTTTTCCAATCGGCGACAGTAGGACTGAACGATTCCTAGTCAAGACCCACATTTCTAGATCAGTGAGTTGATTTGCATGTAACCCAAAATAATTTTTTTCAGGAGAATAATTTGCATTAATATCTGCATAGTAATACATGTTACATTAAAATTGGGTTGTGCAGGTGACTGTTTCTGAATTACAAAATTTAGGTAATGAAGTTTAATTTCTTTTAATTAAGTGTATGTACTGATGACATTTAAGTAGTGCTTTTAGGTCTCCTTTTAACTGTATTTTTTTATTTTTAGTATTTCAAAGTCTATAACCATTCATTAGAGTCCTAATTTTAAGGACCATCAACATATGTTGCTGTTGTGTGCTGTTCAGTTGGAACCAAATTAGAGCTAACCCTCCAGAGTGTTTTCAGAGACAGTAAATTGGACAGGAGGAGACCGCTCATTCTTCTCCCAGGGGGAGGAGCTGGTGAATTCAAATTGCATGCCTTTGGGATTGCAGTGCAGCTTCTTAGCACTAGGCCATCAGAGCTCTTGATAACCTTAAGAGGGATTTATAATTAATGTATGATTAATAATTTTAGATTGTACAGTGTTTTGCAAAATGAGCACCAATTCTGTTTTCCTATTGCTTTAGAAAATATGTGTATATCAACCATTACGGTAAAAACTTCTTTAGTATATGCCTTTATAGACTTGCTTTTGGAACTGATTGATACAGGGAAATGCAAGGAGAGGATATATCTGAGGCAGAGTGTTCTGTGTACAGCTAATGCTCATGGCTGAACAAATAGCTGTTTTAACAGCTGTATGGCTTCCTTATGAAGCTAAGTAATATTGTTAGCCCATGTTATTTTATTTTAACCAATGTTAAATTTTATTTTAAAGACATATGCAAGAGTACTGTGTTGAGTGTGGAGGTGGCACAGTCTGATCTTCGCTACCTTAAAGGGAAAGAGTCCATCAACAGCATGGGCAACATAATGTTGCAGTAGTCAATAGGCCTCCACACTGTCTTCAGCAGTTCTACCATCACCTGACCTTCCCACAGTCACTAGGTCTTCTAGTTCTCTACTGGGTTCCATAGTTTGTTACAGTGGCACACAATACTGAAAGATTTTGGGATATATTAGAGGAAAAACCGGTCACAATTCCGATTTGGGAACACTTGGCATACAGCTTTCAGTCAGGACAGACTCTTGCCATGCCTGTTGACAAGTATACCTCTTTTTCTCACCCTCTTCTTTGTTCTCTGCCCTGCACTGGGCAAGTATTTCAAAGCTCCTTTAGCACTGCTAGTTACGTACCTCTCCCACTTTGCCAATTGGCCTAGGCCTGAAGCTGCTGTGCTCTACCTCTGCATCAGCCAACCTGAAGTGTCTGCAGGTTCACCTGAAAGTACTCCACTTTTTCACACCTGTAGTGCTGTCTCATGCTGCTCTCTGGCTCACTCCCACCTTGCTGCTCCACGAAATAAGAATAGTCAAGCCAATGAGTAGAAAAGCCATATTGAATAATCCACTGCAGCAAAATATATTAAGATAAAATGCCATAATGACAGCGTTTGATGGAATGTATGTTATTGTGAAATAAAATTACATATTTGGGTGCAAATAAACGTAGCTGTATTCATTAGTTAGAACTGTCACGTTTTTTGTTTGTGGGTGATGGTTTTTTAAAAATCCATGACTAGGAGCTTGTGATTAAATTCATTAAAATATTTTGGATAAAATAGTTGATTTATGTCTATAGAAGATATACACAGAAGTAAAGATTAAGAATAATGGTGTCTTAGAATAATGCTGTTTAATAACTTTTAAAGTATTTAACGTTATATACTTTCCCCCCCCTCTTCATTTATAGTGCTTTTTTAGGACCAAAGGATATATTTCCTTATTCTGAAAATAAGGAAAAATATGGCAAACCAAATAAACGAAAAGGTTTTAATGAAGGTTTATGGGAAATAGATAACAATCCAAAAGTGAAATTTTCAAGTCAACAGGTGAGTCAGATTATGTAAATTTAGTTATTTATTCTTGGGAAAAAAATCACTATGCCACCACTGATGTGACACTGAATTTTCAGAGTTCTGTGCCTTTACACAGGTGGTGTCATTTCTAGCATACAGTAAAATGACTGCAGCTTTTTCCTTTTTCTTGACATTGATGTCAGTGTAAAATTCTTACCTATATTGTCATTTGTACTCTTGAATTAAGGTACATTTATATATGGATATTCCAGAATTCTTGCAACTCAAAGAAAAGCCAGGTTTTAGTCTAGAATCCTATATTCTAGTAGGAAGGAGCCCTAGTGAGTCCGTGGTTCGGCACTTGGTAGCTAACTGGATGGTTGGTGATTTGAACCCGCCAGCTACCCTGGAGGAACAAGATGTGACAGTTTGGTTCTGCAAGGAGAAACAGATGTGGAAACCAGTGGGGTTGTTAGCCTCTTCTGTGGGCTATAATGGGCTCAGTGGCAGTGAGTTTTAGAAATGGACGTGCTGCATAAGTGTTAAGAGGAGGGTTTCAAAACTTTTTTTTTCCTCATTTTTCAGCATGGTCTTTTTATTTATTAAATTTGTGGCAGAACCCAGGAAGAACAAGAGTAAATCTAAAGAGATGTTAGAAATTAGAAATTCTGTAACTTTGTGCTCTTAAATCTTTCACCCTTTTGTTTGTGCTTTTGGTCACCTTTGAAAACGTTTTAGATGCTGTTAAGTCTCAACTGTTTGGTCTTCTCATTGATGAGAGTCCCTTTATTTTACTGTTTACACTCGTCAGACCATATTGTAATGGTTGCTTTTTTATATTTGACTATCACTGCCACAAACCATTTACCCCTTAGCAAAGACGTTGCCCTGAGTGCCAGACGCTATTGTGTTCATGGGAAGAATAAGTATTCATAATGAATGACTAAGAAGTCGGATGATTTCCTGTCAGTCTTCCCTTGATCTGTCTGAACTATTTTGTGGATCTAACTCTTCTTGGTAATTTCACTATCATCATTTGTTACATGATTGCACAAGTACAGTGTGTGTCTCTGAACTTATCCTTCTGCTCAATATCTAAGTGGGTTTCATTATGTAGACTTAAAAATTTCCCAGTACACAATTAAATTTTTTGTATGTTGTATGAATGAAACCCAGTAACTTTGTCTTTCCCAAGAAGTATGAATGATTATACTGATTTAATAATAGGTTTATTCATCAGACTCAACCCCTTCTTGGAGACACATTCCTATGGGCTGGGGAAAACAGTGATGCTCAGGCTTCACAAAACAAAATACTTAACCACAGTGACTCCTAAGACTCTGTACTCCTGGCTGCCTCCCATTACTTGATTTGCTCAGGAGGTCAATCTATCTCTTCCTTTGGGATATATCTAACTTTCCTGATCAAATCTGTCTTTGCGTTGCACCTTCAAAAGACAAAAAAGCATTGTGTTAGGAATAGTTACCAAGCATTTTACAATTCTTTTGTATAATTATTTTTACCAATGTTGCTTTTCCCCTTTTTACAAAAGAGGAAATAGAATGAAAAGATTTAACCAAAGTATGGTGGTGTCTTTTTCATCTTTTTGACTGAACTGTGAAAGTCTGGACCCTCCTTTAAGTATCACTTGGAGTTGCTGGATTTTTATTCTTTTTTTCCTCTGCCTGCTAAATCAGAACCACTAATTGTGGACCCCAGGAATTTGTTAAAATGAAACTGACGTTTGAGGGCAGTGGTGATTGTATTTCCTGTTATGTTGGAACCAACCCATAGCTGACCTCGAGCAGGTTATCTGAGTCAGTAAATTGCATGGGAGATTGTCCATCTTTCTCCTTGGAGGCAGCCGTGTATTTGAACTCTGTGCCTTAGGGTTGGCAGTGCAACTCCTTAGTCCTAGGTCACCAAACCTCCCTGAGGGTGTAGACTTAGAAAATTATGAAGTATGTCCTTTAAAAAGGCTTTTTGTTACTTAAAGTTACTATTTACTAATACTGCATGTAAATAACTTCCAGAATATTTCAGTATTTGAGTACAGTATACCATTCTAAGTGTTGAATCTTTTTGAGTAATTGTTGGTATCCTTTATAGTTTGTACTTCATTTCTGCCTAATTCTTTTTTCACTCTGCATACTGGAGTCTCTTAATGTCATTGAGTTGAAACGACCATAGCTGACCCTCAGTTGGTTTCAGAGGCTGTAAGTCAGATTGGGGAGGACTGTGCATCTTTCTCTTGAGTCACAAGTACCAGGCTTCCCTTATATTCAAGTATAGGACAAATCTTGAAGACTTTTAAAAAGAGGCAGTATTGAAAGCAGCCTCTTTGTAGCTCGGCTTTTAGTTATTCATGGGTAGAAAATGCTAAAATTGAGAAAATCCCTTTTTTTGAGAAATTAATAGACTTGATTATTCACAGGCCTCAACTAAACAGTCAAATGCATCATCTGATGTTGAAGCTGAAGAAAAAGAAACTAGTGTTTCAAAGGAAGATACTGACCATGAAGAAAAAGCTAGCAATGAGGTATGTGGAAATCTCTGTTGTATTCAAAACTAATTGTGTTGGAAGGAAGAAACTGTAGAATGACGCCCTCAGAATATACTGATGATTAAATATTTGAGTGATGAATGAGAATATATTTAAGTTCTAATTTTTTTGTAAATACAACATATAAAGATGTTATGCTTCTTTAAAGGGTGGTGGTTGATTGCCATAGAGTCAAGAATAACTCATAGCGACCCTATGAACAAAAGACCTGAAACCTTTCTGTAACACCATTCTCAAAGTTCATAGTTTCCAGAGGCATGTTTTAGGAAGTAGATGCCACTCCTGCTTCCAAACATGTCTTAATCAAAGTAGAGCTTTTTAAAATTTGAGGTTATCTTGACATGTAAAACAAAAGATCCCATCTGTAGGCTAGATTATTACTGAGGTGTTTTGGGATGAGGGTGTTGGGAAAAGCAACATTTCATTATATGTTTTAAAAACCTAGGTTTATTTCCAACTATCTGGTTTCCTCAGGAAATGGTTGTTAAGTAATTGCATTCATACCTGAAAATTAGGGATTCTATTGCTGGAAAGATTTTATAAGTTTAAATATTGTGGTATTTTATTAGATACAGGAAATGCATCCCCTTCCCGAATATATTGCTTGTTACATTTATCATGTTAAGACATAATGATTGTACTATCAAGATCAGAGAAGCAAAACCCAATTTCCCCAGACAGAGAACTTTTTACTGAATGTACTTGTGACTTAGCTTAAGAAAATTTTGTTCAGTCTTATCATAATTTTTCAGCGTCATCTGTATTTGTTTAGGATGTGACTAAAGCAGTTGATATAACTACTCCGAAAGCTGCCAGACGAGGGAGAAAGAGGAAGGTAATTTGATTATATAACCTGGGCCTCCTAAAAGCACTCTTAACATTCTAATTGTATAGAGAACAAATTAGAGATGAACTTGATGTTCACTCTAAGACTTTTTATATATTTTTTTAAATTTTTTTTTTAAGTAGGCTATGTTGTTTACTTGGCAAAAACTGATCCTTGACACTAGAACAGCTTTAGAATATGCAATTTACCTCTTAAGGAAAAAATAGAAAAGGAGAATACATCATTTTCATGCTTTAGTTTTCTCTGTAAAATGGATAAACTTGGGTATCCATTGGTTTGCTAAGAGAGAGGATTAAAGGATGTTCAGAGTGTATTCTAAGTAATGCAGTTAAGTCCGTGAGAGAACTTCTGCCCCCTTATCACCTCAGTCGGAAAAGAGCTTTCTGCACAGTCCTGCATTTTCATTCTCTGGTGTTTCTGGAGCTTAACAATAACAAGATGCCTTGTCTCCTATCCCAGAGCTATTGAATCAGCTTGGTGTGTAAGGGTGTGCATTAAGTGAATGCTTTTAAATTTTAGAAATAATAACTTGAGCTAATGTACAGAAAAAATTTTACAGTATTTCTTGAATAGTTTGAGTTTCCTCAGACTATTGACCTTTAATAATTATTGGGATATCCATTATTCCAGAGTAAGAACTATAATGATTTTAAAAACTAAAAATGGATTTTAGGGATGTGGGATTGCTAAATCTATTTGGCACATTTATCATTAGAGATACTGTTTTAGTAAAGTGGAGCTAATTTATACTCACTGGTCATACAGATGACTTCCCATATTCTTTTGGTCATATAAATGACTTTCCATATCCTTACCAACCCTGGACATTACCTCTTAAATACCTGTGAATGACGTAACTGTTCAGTGTGGAGTGGCACGCTCCATCCGTTTCCTGCAGTGAAATCTTGGAGAACTACCAGGAGTGGCTAGTGGGCTGAAACCTCCACTGAACTTGCTTTAGTGCCTTTAGTTTGATAATAGTTAACATGGAATTAAGAAGTGTTTCAATTGGAGGCATCCAGATGTGGCTCTCATTACTCTGTTTTCTTTACCATTTTTCTTGTTTTGTGTGATCGGTAGCAACTGTTGACTTTTTGTGAGGCCTGTGTTTCCTTACGAGAAAGCACATGTGAGAGCCACCAGCCTGGACTAGGTCACTGGAATTCTTTGCTATCTCCATCATGATACATTTCTAAGAAAACCAGTAGGTCTTAATCTGAGAAAGTAAAAATTGTACAGATTAACAATATTACCAAGTTAGATATACTAATAACTTCATGTCCTTTCTAATATTAGAATAGGATCATAAGTAGGTAGTAATGAAGCAATTAGATTTGAGACTTCAGGAAAATACACACATAAATGACATTGTTACAAGACTGACTTGTACCATATAAGTGTATTAAAAGGAAAGCCTTAAAGGAGCTCTGCTGACTTAGTGGCAAGAAGCTGTGCTGCAATCCTGAAGTCGTGTGGTCCGAGTCCACCAGAGCTCCTCTGGAGACGGAGAGGCAATCTCTTCCTGTGCCAGTCGGATCCATTTCATAGGTGTACAACCAGGGGAGAAAAAATAAAGCGGCCTTTTCCCAAGTGACTTTTAAAATTAAAATTTAAAAAAAAAAACACACAAACAAACCATAGTTGTAAGGTATATATGCGGCTGCCACGGAGATAAGGGCAAATAAGATAAATAACAAAAACCATTTTTCTTGTTTTGAAGTTACCAATGAGTTGCATCTGTTAGCCATAAAGATTTTGCAGTGCCTCCTGTTTCCTAATTTACTAAGTTATAGAAATCTTTGTGATTCAGGCAGAAAAACCAGTAGAAACTGAAGAGACAGGAGTAGTGACAACAGCAGTCGCCTCTGTCAATCTGAAAGCAAGCCCAAAGAGGGGACGGCCTGCAGGTAAGATTGCACATATGCACATGCTTGGGGGACGGGGGTGGGGGAAAAAATCAAGAACGTAATCTTTTAAAAAGTCCATTGAACTTGAGATTCCTATTCAGTGCCTTACAGTGTTGAGTGCCTCAGCTATTTTGGAATGAGTTACACGATTAGAATTGATTGTAAAACAGAAAATTTAAAAAAGAACATTATGGTTTCTGCTTTATTGTGGTTACATTTTCTCATCACTAGGAGCAACAGAAGGGAACTAAACCAAAGGCCATCTCTGGTTGTGGAGACCCACTGGGCTCCTCTGAAGGTGCATAACCTCCAGTGTAAGTTACAGCCTCAAAAACCTGCTGGAGGATCAGCTGTCAGTCGGCTTCAGCTCAGTAGCAATGAGTTGACTAAAAGAGGCTGTGGTAAGGATAAAATGACCATGAATAAGGGGTTCATTATATCTTATGCAGCATTAAAAAATGAAAATCTATTGCTATTTAAAGTCATTTCCTCTTCATAGTGACCCTACAGAGAGAATAAATGCCCATGGGATCACTAAAGCTTTACAGAAGCAAACAACCATCTATTTTGTTGGTGCTTTGAACCACTGATCTCTTGGAGCAGCCAAGAATACTAGCCAGTGCATCACTGGGTTTGAACCACCAGAGAGGTGCAGACGTTAACAGTACAGCTACAGACTACATCACCAGAGCGCCCTTAGGAACCAGAAAAGCTTTCTAAGTGGAATCAAAGTCAAAGCATGAGAAATAGCAATTAATGCCAGCTGTTAGTAGATGAAATTTTTGTACTCTTCTTAGGATTTTTATAGTAGCTATCTTCACCATTGCCTATTTAAAGTATTTCTGTAGTTTGACAAATTGGAAAAAAGAAAATGAACCAAAGTAGAACCTTTCTGCCTGTTCATAATTTTATGGGGGCAGGGGGGGATAGATGGTGATGTTAAGTGCCATCATTTCAAGTCTGACCCATAGCAGTCCTGTGAAAACCAGATCTGGACCCTGCCTAGTCCTGTGCCATCCTCACCATCTCCGAAGTACGTTAGCTCATGGCTGCAATCACTCTGTCCATCCGTCTAATTGAGGGTCTTCTCTTTACTTGTCCCGCCACCTATCCAGATAAGTCTGATGTCCCTCTCTAAAGAATGCCTTCTCTTAGCAACATGCCCAAAGTATAAGAGACAAATCTTTTTTTATCTTTGCCTCTAAGCAGCACTCTGCACTTTTTCCAAGATAGGTATTCTTTTGACATTCTATGAGATACTGGTACTTTCCTCCAACACCACAGTTCAAAAATAACATCTTCTGTCATCATTAGTCACTGTCCAGCTCTGATGCATAACAAGACATTGAAACACACCTTAAGTCTTCAAACTGACATCATTGCTCCTCAATAATTTAGAGGTTCCTGATGATGGTAGACTTTTCTATCAATGTTGCCTGTTGGTCCAGTGGTGAGAATTTTTGTTTTCTTGACACTGAGATGCCACTTTGAAAGCTGTATTCTTTGATCTGTGGCAAGCGCTTCAAGTTGTGCCATCTAAACATAGGCTATTGTTAAATCTTCCTCAAATCTTGATGCCACATACTTCATAAAGTTCAGCTTCTCAATTAACATGCTCAGCATAGAGCTTGAATAGGTACAGAGAGAGGATACAACCTTGGCACACACCCTTTTAATTTTATGCTATGTACCTTACTATGTTCACGCAGTAGTCTCTTGGTCTAAGTGTAGGTTTTGTGTGAGCACAGTTAAGTGTTCTGGGATTCCCACTCTTTGTGTTAGCCATAATTTGTTAAGATCCACACAGTCAAATGCCTTTGCGTAGTGAGTAAAGCACAAGACATTCTTTTGACATTTTTTGCTTTGAGCTAGGATCCATCTGACATCAACAGTGGTATTTTAAAAAAACCCCAAAACCCAAGTGAACTCCCTGGTGCCACAGCCTCTTCTAAACTCAACTTCAGTTTCTAGCAGCTCTCTGTATTTGGTAGCTATTTCTTGATCTTCAGCAGTATTTGTTTGCCTACATGTGATATTAATACTATTATTTAATAATTTCCATTATTAAATTTGTTAGATAACCTTTCTTGGGAATGGGAGCAGATAGGGTCCGTCCCCCCCCCCCAGTCATTTGACAATGGCTTCAGTGCAGCTTGAACTTCGAATACCATCATTCTTCTAAAACATTTCAGTGTTGGCCACTTCTTTTTGGTACAGTGATTCTGTATATTCCCTGCATCTTCTTTTGATACTTCTGGATCATTTAACATTTTGCCCATAGCCTCTCTAAACAGTATAACTCAAGGCTTGATTCCTGCCCCCCCCTTGTTATGTACCATTGGATCAGATCCGTCTGGCACAGAAGGATATTGCCCCTCCTCTAGTGGAACATCTGGTGGATTTGAACTGCATGACTTAAGGATTGGAGCACAGCTTCTTGCCACTACACCACCAGAGCTTCCTGACTTGAATACATTTTTAAGTACATTCAACTTGAGATGCTAAGTGAATTCTTCCCTTTTTATTGTCCAATTCTGGGTCTTGTTTGGTTGGTCTTCTTGAGCTGCTCTTTGAAATCTTTTACTTCAGCATCTTTTCAACTTGATGTGGCTTCTCAAAGCTCTAGTGCAATTTTCAGTCTCTTCTAGCATACATTTTGGTTTTTTCTTCTCTGTCCTTGTAATGATCTTTTGCTCTCTTCATGAAATATTCTTGATGTCATCCCACAACTCATCTGCTCTTTAATCATTAGTGATGAGTGCCTCAAACTATTCTTAGGATGAATTTTAAATTTAGGAGGGATAGATTCAAGATCTTATTTTGTTTTTTGTTGGACTTGTATGGTAAAAATAAAGATGAGAAATACTCAAGCCAAACTCCTTGCCACTGAGTTGATCGTAACTCCCTCATAGAACAAAGTAGAAGTTCCCTGTTTGGTTTCAGAGGCTGTAAATCTTAATGGGAGTAATCCACATGTTATTCTTACAGAAAACAGCTGATAGGTTCTAAACTTTTACTTCATAGCCTTAACCTACCAGTTAATCCACTAGACCACTACTCTACCTGGAGATAGGACAACTGAGAAATCTTTTGCAGAATTTTAATTCTGAAATTTAATATTGTTGTAATGAATCAAGGTGTGTCTGTCACTAGAGAATTCTGTCAGTTCAGACACAAATTTTCAAATACGTGTATATATACATATCTGTGCTGTAAGTTCTATTGTTTCATTTTGTGACTTTATTTTAAATTGGTTTGCTTACAGAGTTTGTCTGCATTGTGTTTTATGCTGTTCTTTATTCATATTGTTTCAAACAATCATTTTTATGCAGTTTTATAAAATTAATCACCATTGGACCTTGCCCATCATTACCCCTCTTTTTACCCAGGTCTTTCCCATTTATTTCTCCCCCCCCCCCCCCCCCAAAAAAAGTGTGTAACCTAGTGGTTTTGCCCCTCCCGGTCCTCAGCCCTCTCCCTGAGTTCCCATACGTTTCACTAGTTATTCTGTGACATTTTGAGTCATGAAACATATAATGCTGCTTTAACCCCCTCAGCTATACTAAGGCCAAATATAAATTTACACCTTTTTAATACATGTGATTTTTGTGGGAGTTTACTTAGAAATTGGCTCATTTACCTAAATTTATTCTTGATCTGTCTCTGAATTTTCTGTTGCTCACTTGAAAATTTATATATAAAGTAGTTATATCTTTAATATTTATATCTATGTATAATAAATACCTAATATGGTCTTATGTTAATGGATCATTTAAATCTTTATATGTGATATTTGAAACATAATGGAAAATTTGGTAATTAACGTTTTCTTTCCCCATGTTAAAATTAGCCACAGAAGTCAAAATTCCAAAACCAAGAGGCAGACCGAAAATGGTAAAACAGCCTTGTCCTTCAGAGAGTGAAATGTGAGTCTATTTTCAACATAATTATTCAGTGAAGGAAATATTTGACATTAAAGTCTACATCATTTTTCTTTAAATTTTTAGATTTTACTATATAGTATTAATTGCTTGTATTGGTAATTTTATAAAATAGGAAGAAAGCATATATAATAGTTTAATATGTAAAATAAATTATAAGGCAATGAAAAAACTAGTATCAGCAGTATAATTAGGATATATTGAAGCAATTGCATAAATGTTTCAGAATTTTTCTTTTTCTTAAATTGTTGTGCCCTGTCTAATCAGCTCCTTATCCAGCAGAGCATCTGGTGTATTTGAACTGTGTGCCTTAGGGATTGCAGCACAGCTTCTTGCCACTAGGCCACCAGAGCTCCCTTTCAGAAAATATTTTTAATAATATCCCTAATTCCTATGTAGTTCTTTTAGAATAACTTTTTCTTAAAAAAAATAAAATATATATAGATAGATAGATATAGATATATAGTTTTAAGATATTTTAGCATGAAAACTGCTTGCTTTGCCAGAGTCCACTCAGAAAATTATTTACATTACCCTAGATATAATACATTTTTCTTCTATTTTCCCTGTACCTTTCCCCCTTAAGGGATGCAATTTATTTATAAACCAGTGCTAAAAATATGAAACTTTCTAAGTCAAAATATATTTAAAGGACTTGATTTGATTGGCAAGATAATCAAAGTTTACTAAAAATCAATGGCACAGAATTAAAGCCTGATTTAATTAATAAAATTGAGAAATTAGATACTTCATAGGGTAACTTTTTAAACATACCAAATCAACTCATTCCTTTTCAGTGACATCCTAAATGTTTTATCCAGTCATGGCATTAGACGGAAAGTAAAATTACATGAACTACAGTCACGACTGTTCCTTGCTCTTAGTACTTAGGAATGCATATAAACAATGACCCAGTGCATGTTGGTGGCATTGTGGTTAAAGTGCCTGGCTATAAATCAAACCCCCATCAGTTCAGAGTCACCACTACTCTTTAGGAGAAAGATGTGCCAATCTTTCCTAAAGATAACAGCCTTGGGAACTGGGGAATTGTGCTCTGTCCCACAGGGCTGCTAGGTGTTCGAATTCATGTCATGACTATAAAGTTCTTTTGATTTTGTTGGGTTTTATTTTCTCCCTAGACGTAGCTTTCCACTTTGTTTTTCTCCATGGACTCAGTTGGTTAATACTTGTTAAGAGCCATGAGAATCATTTTATATTTAAAAACATGTATAATAAAAATCGTGAACAAAGTGAGATTATTTTATTTGTATAATTCTGTTACTTAAAAGTAAAATAAACCCATATGAAAATTTTAAGCATGATAGGAGGAAAAAATTCTAAAGAAAAATATTTTTTTCTGTCAACTTCAGGG